ACCTCCTACAACAACCTTAGGAAAAACAGTGTTTTTGGCTTGGGTCCTCTTGGGAGACCTCTTGGAGGCCTCTTTGGGCGTTTCTTTGGCCGTCTTGGGGCCATCTGGGGCGTCTTTGAGCGATCGTTCGGCGACTCGGGGCCCTCTGGGACCGTCTTGGGGGTTCTTGGGGCCCTCTTGGCCCGTCTTGGGGCCCCCTTGGGCCCGAAACAGTCATGCGACAAGATGCTGGGGAGACGCGGGCAGCCCCAGAAGATTTGGCCCGACAGGCTCCGACCCCCATGAGAACTCCTCAGGAGTGACGACTGCGGCTCAGAGGGGTAGTGGACGGACCTGAGGACACGCCCATTCCGTGCCCAACCGCACGGTGGTGGACACACACACACACATGTATATATATATATACATATAGATACACATACATACCGGAAACACATTATACATGCACATGTGCATGTAACTGTGCATGCCTATGTACATGTATGTGAAAATGTATAGGTATATGTATGTTAATATGTACATGCATATGCATATGTGTATGTATATGTATATGTATATGTATATTTATGTGAATATGTATGTATATATGTGTATGTACCGATACATGCCCAATTACATACATACATTTGTAACTGCATAAATCCATAAGTGAGTACATACCATTCGATCTGTTTCCACAACATACATAAACACATGTCGAACCTGTACATCATACATTGCTATACATTGCTAGAAACGCACTGGTTCGAGTCCACGCTGGCTCACATGTTTTATCTTCTGGTCTGCATTCCCTTCAACGACTGAAAGGATGGAGGGAGGGCGATTCCGTTTCAAAACGAGACCCTTGCTTGACAGAGGCAGCCCATGGGGTTCCCGTCTTTCTAGGGGGAGGTTCCGAAGTCAAGGGGGGCACTTGCCGGGTCGTATGCTGAGGGGCTTAGGGACATGAGGGCGTGCTGCAGCATCGTGGATGCACCTGGGATTTGCCCTGGACGTTGTCCTCCTATCTCCTGCTTCCATCCTTCCTCGTTCCTTTCCTTTCCCTTCCCTGCGCACTTCCTCCCTCCCTCGCTTCACTGCCCCCTTTTCCCCGCCCCCCCCCCCTTTCTCTCCCCTCCCACCCCTCCGCGGTCGCCTTGTCGCGACCTCTACAAGCTCGAGGGCCCCCAAGGCACCCCACCCAGTGCAGCCACAGGTGGGCGGGGCGGGCGTCTGGGGATCCAGCATTGCCGCCCATCCTCGACCGCCGATGGCCCCCAACAAGACTTCCACGGCACGCGAAAAACACAGCCGAGACGCTCCCTATGCAGGGTGTCGCCGCGGGACCGCGCTGCCCTGGTTGGCTGGCCACCTTCGTCCACAGCGAAGACGTCATCTGCGGTTTGTCCGCTTTCAGTCGCCAGTGGAGGGCAGCTTTAAGTAGGTGGGCTTCTATTCGAAAGCGCGCCACTGGATCACCCTGTAATTGAAAAGGGGGTGTGTGCTCGCAGAACCCCCCTCCCTTCCCCCCTTCAAATGGGGGGGAAATTTTCGACCCCCACCCCCTCCCCCCCTTAAGGCGGGGGGGGGGTCCGAACCCCCCCCTCCCGCCCGCCCCCTTGAAGGGGGGGGGAGGTGTTCCGGACCCCCCCCCCCCTCCCCTTGGCGCTGGAAAGGGGGGGTGGTTCGGACCCCCCCCCTCCCCCCCTTTGCGCCGAACAGGGGGCTGGGGAGGGGGCCTCTCCCGCAAGGGGGGCGGTCGTGAGTAGGAGTAAAAAGTTGTGAGTAGTGAGTAGCGAGTAGCGAGCAGCGAGTAGGGCGTTGTGAGTTGTGAGTGGTGAGTAGTGAATAGTGAATAGTGAGTACTGAGTAGGCAGTAGTGAGTAGCGAGAAGTGAGTAGTGAGTCGAGAGTAGTGAGTAATGAGTAGTGCGCAGTGAGTAGTGAGTACTGAGTTTTGGGTGGTGGGGAATGGGTAGAGAGTAGTGAGTAGCGAGTAGGGAGTAACGAGTAGTGAGTAGTGAGTAGCGAGTAGGGCGTTGTGAGTAGTGAGAAGTGAGGAGGGAGTAGTTAGTAGTGAGTAGGGAGTAGTGCGTAGCGAGTAGGGAGTAGCGAGTAGGGAGTAGTGAGTAGTGATTAGTGAGTAGTGAGCAGGGAGTAGTGAGTAGTGAGGAGTGGGTCTTGAGTAGTGAGTAGGGAGTAGCGAGTAGAGAGTAGTGAGTAGTGAGTCGTGAGTAGTGAGTAGCGGTGGGCGATCATCGTGCAACGTTGAATCGCGGTCACGAAACCGCGGGGCGGGTGCCCCCACCCCAGCCCCCATGCTTGGGCGAACGGGAGGGGGCTCCGCGCGACGCGCAGCGGCGCGAGGCGACGCGTGCCCAAGCGCTGGGTGCGAGGCGTCGCGCAGTCTGCCCTGCTTGCATGGGCGAGCGCGCGAGGGGGCGCGTGCGCCGCCCAGGGATGGGAGGGGCGTCGCGCACGCACGGCTGGTGGGGGTGTCCCGCCACGCTCGGCGAGCGGGCACCTGCGGTGCGGCTTTTGAGACTAGTGACTTGCGACCAGTGAGTAGGGAGCAGGGAGTAGTGAGAAGTGATTAGTGCGTAGTGGGCAGTGAATATGGCATATTGGGTAACGAATAGCGAGTAGGGAATAGCGAGTAGTGAGTAGTGAGCAGCGAGTGCTGTGTAGGGAGTAGCGAGTAGCGAGCAGCGGATAGTGAGTAGTGAGTTGCGGTCGCTGCGTAGTGAGTGGTGAATTGTGCGTACTCAGTAGTGAGTAGTGGTTAGTGGGTAGTGACTAGTGCGTAGGGAGTAGTGAATAGTGGGCAGGGAGTAGCGTTCAGTGACTAGTGAGTGTTGAGGTTTGAGTAGTGAGTAATGAGTTGGGAGTTGGGAGTAGTGAGTAGAGAGTAGTGAGCAGTGAGTAGTGGGTAGTGGGTAGTGAGTGGTGGGTAGTGAGCAGTGAGTCGTGAGTAGTGAGTAATGAGTATTGAGTAGCGAGTAGTGAGTAGCGAGTAGTGGGTAGTGGGTAGTGAGTAGTGAGTAATGAGTAGTGAGTGCTGTTTGGGGTTAGGGTTAGGGTTTGGGGTTGGGGTTAGGGGTGGTAGGGGTGGTACTGTCAGGGGTGGTAGGGGTTGGGTTCCGGAGCCACGCCGTGGCGAAAGGAGGGGAGGGGGGAGGGGGGGTCAAATTTGGCGGCCAAAGGGGGGGAGGGTGGGAGGATTCCCCGACGACGGACCGGGAAAGGGGGAAAGGGGGGGGTCCCTGACGACGGATCGGGAAAGTGGAGGGGGGGGTCCCCGACGACGGATCGGGGAAAAGGGGGAGGGAGCGGTTTCCCCCCCTCCCCTTTCGGGGAGATCCAGCGGCGCGCCCTCCTTCTGTTCCTGTGAAGTCTCTTCTTCTCTCTTCGCTGTTTATCCTCCTCCCCGTCCTCTGTCTTATCGTTCGTCGCGTTGGACTTAATGCTGTGGCCGCGTAGGCCTTTCATTCTGGGGAATAGAACACATAGCATGGCCTTGCTGCAGGGCTTTTTCCTTTGCCGTCTTTGCATGATTTCCTCCTTCGCTTTCTACCTCCTCCCTCCTGGATGGCTTGACATGGCGCAGTCTTGCCGCAATCGTATTTTGTTGGTGCTTGGGCGTGGGAATCTGCAGCCCAACTCCACAATTCAGGCGCGAAGCATCCAGGCATGGGCGGTGTGGTGTGTCGGCCTCTGGCCGCAGGCCGCTGACACATGCCGTCGCCTTGGCAGGGCAGTGAGACAATATGGGCGATATTCGGGCCATCGGCAGTCAGCGTCCCTCTCCCCCATTATTCCTTTCCCCTCTCCAGCAAAGTTGCGTTTGAACCGACAAAAAACTCAGGGTGGGCTCTGGTTTGGGGCCGCTTCTCAGATTTTGGCATGGGGCGCCCATTCCTGGCTGGAGCTCGCCGAGGCCACGCAAGCCCCTTCGCTTGGTATCGCTCGGACGTGTGCACTTTTTCTCGGCGGGGGTCATTGAGGAGCATCCTGGATCATCCTGGGAAGAAACAAGCCACGCGCGAGACCGAAAACAAAACAGGGAATGGACGTCCGAGCGGCGGCGAATTTGCGTGGTAGCATGATGCCTGCACCCTCGGGGAGCCCGAACGCAGCCAGTCCGCGCCGCGGCCACGCGGCGGCGAGCCCAGCGCGGGCGTGCGAGTTTGACCGCCGCGGGCGGCCCAGCATCGGCCGACATCGAGCTATCTGCGCTATATCGGAAAGCTGCGATGGTTCGAGGCTGAGCGGTCCAACGTCCTTGGTATCGCTCGGACGTGTGCATTTTTCTCGGCGGGGGTTATTAAGGAGCGTCCTTGATCATCCTGCGAAAAAAAACCACGCACGAAACCGAAATATGCACGGGAAATGGACGTCCGAGCGACGGCAAGCCGTCGGTGTCATTGCGGTATGAACCCGCCGTGCCGTCAGGAAGCCCCCGAACCTCCAACTCTTTTGCTCGTCCCCTGGCCGTCACTGACGGCCCGACTGCCCCGACTGCCCCGGAGGATCAAAAACCCTCAAAGTGGGGGTTCGACCTCCATCTGGGAGCATTCTTCTTCCGCTCTGGAGGCTTCCCTCGTCCAACTACGCCCCCCCGCCTCCACGCCCGCCTCGCCGCTGGACTCCCCGATATCGGACAGCTCGAAGGATGCTCCCCAGAGGCGACCACGTCGCCGCCGCCGCCGTCATTGTCGTGTCGGTCGCCCTCGTCCTTGTCCTCGTCGTCCTCGTCGTCGTCGTCGTCGTCGTCGTCGTCGTCGTCGTCGTCGTCGTCCTTGGTTGTCGTTGTCCGTCCGTCGTCGTAGTCGTCGTCGTCGTCGCCCGTCGCCTGTCGCCCGTCGCCCGTCGTCGTCCGTCGTCGCCCGTCGTCGTCCGTCGTCGTCCGTCGTCGTCGTTGCCGCCGCAGTCGTCCTCGTTATCCTCGTCGTCGTCCTCGTCGTCGTCGCCATCCGTTCGTCGTTGTCGTCGTCCGCCGTCGTCTGTCGCCCCACAGCCGGGAGGCGATGCTGGGCGCCATGGGTGGCATGGGCGGCATGCCCGCGCTTCCGTCGCAGCCGGACCCCCCGCACCCGCTTCTTTTGTCGGGGGGGAAGAATTCAGGACGAGTGAGGAGGAGGACGAGGACGAGGACGAGGACGAGGACGAGGAGAAGGACGAGGACGAGGACGAGGACGAGGACGAGGACGAGGACGAGGACGAGTGAGGAGGAGGAGGAGGCAGAAGCTTGCCAAGATGGCGTCCTGCACCCGGTCCTGCGCGGGAGCGGGCCCCCTGGCTCCCGCCCTCGCCTAGGCTCCGGCCGCGACCGCCCGGAGGCCCCCGGGAGCTTGGGCGTTGGGCGCTGCGTAATGGGGGGGTCATAACTGGGGGGGTGGCGAGGGTGGTTCGAAAAGGCACCCGAACGGCACCTACACGAGCCTCCTGGGGCTCTGGAGGGGCCCGAGAGGGGCACGAAAGGGGACCTTTTCTGACCCCCCCATTTGTGACCCCCCCATTAAGCCACGCCCTCGCCTAGGCTCTCCGGCCTCGCCTAGGCTCTCCGGCCTCGCCTGGGCTCTCCGGCCTCCGGCCTGGCTCCCGCTCTCGCCTAGGCTCTCCGGCCGCGACCGCCCAGAGGCCCCCGGGAGCCTGGGCGCCTGCCCGGGAGGGGGGGGCGAGTGCGCGGCAGCGTCGGGGGCCCTGCCCCGGGCCCGCCGCCGCCGGGCGCTCCGGCCCCGCCCCCTGCTGGCCCGGCCCACGGGGCCCTCGGCGTGCCCTTCTGTCGGGCGTGTCCCCCTACAGGGGGATTTTCGACAGAAAAAAAAAGATACCCCAAACATACCCCCAAAAGGTAAACAAATACAAAAAACAAATATTGTCCTCGCGACACGTGAGAGCGAAACTCAGAAGACGGTGAGCTTCGGGCCCGACAAGTTAGTCACGAAAGACGACGAGGCCGCACCGGGCGAAGTTAGTTAGCGAGAAAGCGAAAGCGCCGAGAGGACGCAAGGCTGAAGTTAGGATCTCCGCATGGTAGCAGCATGGTCCGTTCATTCCACGTCCTGATCTATCGCGCTGGCAGAGCAGCGCGATGTCACGCGCGCCAGAAAAAAACACCAGGAAGTGCTGCCACAAAGCAGAATCACATGCGCATGATAATCAGGTTGCGCCACATAAATATGGGCGCATACATCGCACCACGCATATTGCACCGCATAGGTTGCGCTACATAAATTGAACCACATACATCGCACCACATGTGTCGCACAACCTTGATGGCACCACATAGATTGCACCACGTAGCTCGCATCTCATATATTGCACGACATAGGTTGCCCCACGTGCATACATACCAAGTGCCTTCGGTACCGAAACCATTGAATCCCAGTGGGCGCGCGATTCATAATTAGGTGAAGGCACGGCCGCATGGGACAAGTTCAGGCGACGGCGGGAATGACTAAGCGAAGCGCAGAAAATAATAGTTAATTGTTAGGAAAGCGAAAGCGAAAGCGAAGCTCCCCGAAAAAAATAGCAATCAAGAAAGCGAAGTCGAAAGCGAACCGCTCGGAAAAAGTTAATAGTAGTCCCCAGACTAGTTTTGGACTATTGTTGGATCATTTGGGGGGTATTTCTTATTTTTCGTCGAAAATCCCCTTGTAGGGGGACAGGCCCGACTTCAGCGTGCCCCGTCCGAAGCTCCTCCACCGTGCCTGGAGGGGGGCGAGGGCACCGAGCACACCTCTCCCCCTTCTCAGGGCCAGGGCCGGACCTGAGCAGTGTTTTTTGGCGATTCCGTGGGCCGCTTTCGTTTCCATCCCGTTTTGCTGTGGAGGCGGATCGATGACGAAACGAGGGCACCGAGCACACGCCTCTCCCCTTTCTCAGGGCGGCGCCTCACAGATCACACTGCGCTACGGCTGCGGGAGTCGATTAAATACTGGAGAGGAAGCATGCTGGCAAATAACTTCCAGATGTATAAGAAAAAGGTGTCACACATGTTTTGAACATGTAAGACATGTTTGAAACGTTTTCAGGACATGGTTTACACATTTTAAACACGTCTTTCGTTCAATGATGGGATTTTGTCAGCGTGTCCAGTGTCGTGGCATCCGAACGCTGCGCTTCGCGGCAGCTCCGGCGATCGGAGCACGCGGGCACGCGCCAGGCAGGCCTCGCATCTCCCTCTGTTTGTTCTCCTTCTCTTGGTATCGCTCGGACGTGTGCTTTTTTTCGGCCTGGGATCATTGAGGAGCATCCTGGATCATCCTGCGAAAAAAACGCGCCCACGAAATCGAAAAATGGGCCTCTCTAGCCTCTTGGGCCATCGGGGGGCCGATAGCGGGCTGCTGCGGATGAAGTGTTCACAGGCGCGTTGATTTCCGTGCGGGGCACGATCCGCACGAAGGGGGCGCCGAATAATTCAGGTGCCCTCGCGCGAACCCGCCCACTCAGGCAGCATGTGGATCTCCTTGTGGGGCACAACCCGTGTGAGTCAGGCATGTGCCAAAACGGGCGGGGGGACGCCGTGCGAAGTTGCCCAGTGGTGCCATACGTGGAGCTCGTTCCAGGGCACGATTCGCGTGAACAGTGTGCTGACATGAGCGGAGGGACGATTTGCAGTCTTTGTTTTGGGGGTTGTGCGTGGTGCTCCCTGTGGGGCACGTTCCGCGTGAGGGGCGTGCCATGCAAACCTTGTCTTTGGGGCCGTCGGTGGAGCTTTTTGTATGGGGCACGATCAGTGTGAGAGGAGTGCCGAAGTAGGCGGGGGGGCGGGATGCGAACCTTGTCTCTGGGTCCGTAGTGGAACTCCTTGCAGGGCACGATCTGTGTGAAATGTGTGCCGGCTTGAATTGGGCGACTCTATGCGAAGTTTCCCTGTACGTGCAGTTTTCTGCGGGGCAGCACTATCCGCGTGAGGGGTGTGCCGTTGTACAAAGGGGCCGTCGGCGGAGCTCCATGTGGGGCGCGATCCCTGTGAGGGGTGTGCCAAATGGGTGGTGGGCCCTAGGTGGAGCTCCCTGCGGGCATGATCCGTGTGAAGGGTGTGCTAAAAAAGGCGGGAATATTCTATTCAGGTATGACCAGATATGTATGCCCGCGATAGCGCAGGTGTTCGCACGTGGTGATCGTGGTGGGATGGCGTGCGTACCCATCCGCTGATTGATGTGACGCTGGCTTTGTCTTTGCTGAAACGAAAAACGCGCGCGAAGCGCGCACGTTATCCTAGTACTTGTTTACATATGCACACCTATTATGTCTAGATGTGTATTTATGTGTATATAGAGGGAAACGCAAACGGACGGAGAGACGGAGAGAGAGAGAGAGGGAGAGATTCGAAAGATGCAGAAAAAGAAGAGGGGAAAGTAGACAGAGAGCGTGTGTGTATATTATACAGTAGAAATGAGAAAAGGGAGTCAAGTAGAGAGTATATAATCAAACATCATGAGATGGCGAGAAGGCGTGGAGCCTTTTACGAAAATGGCAGGACATTCCCTTATGTGTGTTTTCCCTTGCGTAGTTGTTTCATCCTGCATCGTAATCCTCCATCTCCCGATCATCAGATCCTTCACCATATTCCCCTTGCTCAACCATTTTCCTGTCTTCCATCCTACTCCCCCTACTCCCCCTTCCTCCGCACCACCTCACCCTCTCCTCACCCCCTCACCCCCCTCCTTCCGGGTACCCCCTCCCCATCTTCCTCTGCCCCCACCTGTCCTCAGGAGGATGGCGAGTCGAGTCCGACGACGACCTCGACCACTCCGACCACGACACGACCGCGAGGACGACGACCACGACGACACCGACGACGGACGACGACGACGACGACGACGACGACGACGACGACGACGACGACGACGACGACGACGACGACGACGGACGACGACGACGACGACGACGACGACGACGACGACGACGACGACGACGACGACAGGGATGGGCACGCGCACGGCTGCTGCGGGTCCCGGCCCGTGCGCTCCCGGCGGCGTCGGCGCCGCCCGGAGGCCCCCGACATGACCGGCTTCCCCGGCATGGCGCCGCAGGCCCGCCCCTTGGCCGCCCCGTGGCGGCCATCGGGCCCAGGTTTGTCTCTATTTTTGGCCCTTGGGGGCCCTTACCGGCCCTCGGGAGCGTCAAAAAACGATTCGGGACGGAAAACCAGTCCTGGGGAATGGGTCGAGACCTCGGGGGGTCGACGTCATGAAAAAATCACGACGTCGGGGGTCTGGGGAGGGGGGTGAGGACTACGGGGGGATGGATTCCATGGCGTGGGCAATGACGTTTCCCCAGACTTCACGGCGCCCCTTCTCATCCCCAACCAGCCTGTGGTGTTGGGTCCTCGTTTTGAAGAGACGGTCCCCGCGTCCCTCCTCCTCCTCCTCCTCCTCCTCCTCCTCCTCCTCCTCCTCCTCTCCTCCTCCCCCTCCCTCCTCCCCCTCCTCCCTCCTCCCTGCGTTTCACCCACCCAGGTACAGCGTTTCGTGGCCCCATCGGGAGCTCCACCGAAGGTCCCAGTGGCACCGCCCGCATGTGTCCGCCACCACCCAGCACAGCGTTTGCTCCCTGCGTTTCACCCACCCAGTACAGCGTTCCGTGGCCCCATAAGGGGGCTCCACCGAAGGTCCCAGTGGCACCGCCCGCATGAGTCCGCCACCACCCAGCACAGCCTTTGCTCCCTGCGTTTCACCCACCCAGTACAGCGTTTCGTGACCCCATGGGGAGCTCCACCGAAGGTCCCAGTGGCACCGCCTGCATGCGTCCGCCACCACCCAGCACAATTGCGGTATTCACAACTGCATAGGCTTGGGTCTTTCGCCAGGCTAATTTCATTACGTCCCTGGCCCCCCCCTTGGGCCGCGCACGTACCGCACGTGCCGCCGGCCATGATTTGCAACCCCCCCTCTTGGACACCCCCCTCCTGGCCGCCCCCGAAGCCACGATCGGGCGCTTCTTGCTACAGGGGGGCACCCGAGGGGGGCGGAACGGAAGTTTCAAGAAAGCGGCACCGATGTGGACATCTGTGGCACCTCTCTTCCCCACCCTGGTGTTTTGCTCCCCCCTCCCTTGCGCAGCGCCCGTTATTAAGCAACGCCCGACACGACCTGGAGAGAGCTGCGGCGGGTCACCCTGGCGGGGTGGTCGCGCTGCGCCGACGGCCTCGGAGCACTGAGGACTGACACTTCAGTCGGGCCTGTCCCTCTACAGGGGGATTGTTTAAAATTGTCAAACATACTCTGGGACTATTTTTTGATTAAATTTAAAGCATTTGGGGGAGTTTTTCGTGTGTTCTTTTAAAATAAAAAAAGAGAGAGAAAAATCTTCACCCAAAATCCCCCTGTAGGGGGACAGGCCCGACCTAAACTTACACCCTGTAGGTCGGGGCTCCCTGCTCTGGAGGCGTGAAGGGCTCCCAGGACGGAGGGGAAAAGGCCTCCAGGATGGAGGCCAGACATCTCCATTTTGAAGGTTTCCGATCTTCTGGGGCGGCGGTGCTCGTGGAACGCCAGCTGACTACAGTCGGCCCGGATTAGTAGGTCGACCCTGCCAGCTCAAGGGTACCCTCGTGTCCTGTGTCTCGCGACACGTGCCTCCTGCATTCCTGTGGCCCTGTGGCCCTCGGAAGGGTCTTGTGTCCTCTCTCGTGTCCTGTCCAATCAAGTCCGCCTGTAGCTGAAAAAACGGAGCCAGGCCCATCATGGGCCCAGGATCGGTGCATACGCCCCCCTTGCGTGTCCCGAGGTGTGTGGCCCGAGCGCGGGCGTCGACGGTGAAGCGCCGCCAGATGTCGGAAGCCAAAGCGCGGGTCGTCACGACGCGAGCTTGCCGGAACCCCCTTGGGGCAGCCCATCGTCAGGAGGGAAAGAAACACACAGACACAATTAATCGTCGAGTCCCCAGAAAATATGGGAAAATATGGGAAGTGGGGGGGAAGACAGAAACCCAGAAAATATGGGAAAATATGGGACATCTTTTTATTTGTGTGTATCTATTTGTGTGTCGCAGTTCCCCTTCACATCGGCTTCAGCACCCCTCTCGAGAGGTCGTCGATGCGACGCATGGGGGCAGGGAGCACCCCCTCGGTGGCGACTGGTCGGCCTCCCATCTTGGGGTCGTCGTCCTCCCGAGGAGGAGCAAGACCAGGAGCAGGAGGAGGGAGGAGGAGGAGGAGGAGGAGGAGGAGGAGGAGGAGGAGGAGAGGAGGTGGAGAGGAGGAGAGGAGGAGGAGGAGGAGGAGGAGGAGGAGGAGGAGGAGCAGGAGGACGGGCAGGAGGAGGAGGAGGAGGAGGAGGAGCAGGAGGAGGAGCAGGAGGAGGGTCGAGGGTAAAGCATCGGGGATCGCAGTTTGCTCCGGTGGCCTGGGGCCAGAGCTTCAGTGCCGCGGGCGGTATCGCCGTTGTCGGCCGAGCCCATCGTGCTCCGGGGGACTCTTGGCAGTCCGAGGAAGTTCCGGGGCGCCTCGGGCAGCGCCCCGTCGCCCCAGAGCCCACACGGCTCCTCCTCCTCCTCCTCCTCCTCCTCCTCCTCCTCCTCCTCAGCCGTTCTGGCCCAAGTTTTTGGGCTTGCACCAGCTTTCTTCAGAGCGGCAGCAGCTGGTGCGAGTCTTTTTGGCTCGGTACGACAGTTTATATTCTAGTGAGCTCCTGGAGGAGCACCGATGAGCAATGACATGGTCAAAGGACCGAAACTTCCTCTCTGGGGATGTCAGTCCTGTGGAAGAACGAGTAATTGGGCGTGTCGCCTCAAGTGCCGCTGCGGCGAAGCGGCACCAGCGCACGTCCTTCAGCGCGCCAAGTCTTTTGGTGGTGGCAACCCTCCTGCTCGTGGTGGTGGTGGTGTTTCGCGTGGGCAGCCCAAGGATATCGGTCTCGCCAAGACGCTTGCCGCCATGCAGAAGCAGTTGGATCAGCTCACCAAGCAAACCCCGCCCACCAAGGACACTCCGCCCAACGGTCACGGTGGTGGGCGGGGAAGTGGCGCTGAAAATAAAGACGAAAAACCTGATGCTTTGGTCGCCAAGGCTAACGAGTTGGAAACGGCTATCAAAGCATGCAAGAGCGAGTACATGGAGGAAGCCCGCAAGTCCCTCGAGGCTCAACTCCGTGAGGTTCGCAAGCAGATCAAAGGCCAGAAGAGTGACGTCACGCAGCACACCAACTTGGGGCACAAGCTGGCGCGCAAGGAGAGTCAACTCAAAAAGGCAGTGGAGGAAGCTGAGGAGCAAGAGAAGGCTATCAAGGATGCTACGGCCAAGAGGGACGAGCTTCATGCGAAGCAGATCGTGCTCAAGGCCGAGATCGACGACATCAGGGTTCAGCTCAAGCAGTCTCCTCTGGTCGCTGGTGGTGGCGATTTTGATGTCACTATTCCTGACCATCTGCATCCAGACCGACGCTTTCAAGCAGTTCACGCAGCTCTTCGCCCAGTCCAGGACGAAGCAGGAGCCGCGTACTGAAGCTGCGGGTGATGGTGATGGTGATGCTCAAATGGATGATGCTTTCGTGTCCACGGCAGAGGCAAAAAGTTTCTGGGAGCAGCATCGAGGTGATAAACGTGTTGTCGCGCAAGCGCTGGTGGCCGCCAAGTTCAAGAAGGTTCGTGTGTCATCGCCAGGAGCTGCGCCTTCAACGGGTACAGTACCGACGGCGGCGCCACCGGCTCCAGGGCATCTTTGACGGCCAACAGCATGAGATACTACATGGACGTCGTGTTCTGAGCGCTTCTTCGGGAGTGCAGCGGCACGACAGCAGCAGCTTTCGGCGAGCGGAGCTCGCCGACGGCACCTTTTCACACCAGGAACGGATCCTCCTCACAGGCATGTCGAGTGATGAACCCAGATGCTCGTTTCATGGGAGGGTCCGAGATCACGTTAAGCTTTCTAGTCTGGCCCCGTTCGCAGGCCAGCCGCTGTGCACTGGTTTCAAGATTTCGGCCATGGGGTCAGGCTGTCCGCCCACTCCGATTGCCGACGACCCAGTGGCAGATAATTTCCAGTTTGTGTGCGAGTCCTATAATAGTAACAGCTGGGGCACACTCTCGGAACGTCTTGCTCGGAGCTCAGCGTTGGTTCTACTCGCCCAGGAGATCGGGATCACGGCCGAAGATGTGGGTGACAAGACTGCAAAAGCTCTTGGTATGGGATGGCATATGCTCTGCACACCTTCGGCACCCTGCGACGCGGGGCAGACGTCGGCTGGAGTAGCGATTTTTTGCCAGGGCGAGTATCGGACTTCGTTGGCCTCCACACCTACCGCGAGGGGTACTCGTCGAACACCGTCTGTTTTGTTTTTGCGATGCTAGACATACCAGGGTGGCCGCCGATTTTGGCAGGCTGTGCTTATCTGTACACCACCGAGGGGCTGTCGAAGCGTAACATCGAGTTGCTCAAACTGATCGGGGAAACGCTCCAGGGGACCCACATGGCCATCTTCGGGGCTGATTGGAACCTGGGGCCGACGATAATTGAGTTTACGGGGTTACTGAGGAAAGCCGATGTGTTGATCCTCCAGCCGAAGATCGAAACCTGTGTGACGGCGAAGTCTCACTCACGGATCGACTTCTTCGTTGTGTCCCCAGCGGTAGCCAAGATGGTCGACAAGACCGATGTTGTGAAGAACTGGCCAAAGCGACCTCATCGGCCAGTGCAGCTTATCTTTAAGCAAGGTGCGATAAAACTCAAACAGCTTGTTTATCAGACCCATCAACGTATTCCCTGTGTGGTCCCTTTTGGTCCGCCACCAAAACCCCAGGATTGGAGTTTAGCCAGGGTTTTGGCCGAGGAGGCCAACGCGTGCGCCAGTAGTGCTTCTGTCACTCTTGCGTGGACTCTGCTGAACGAGGCCTGGAAACGATTTTCGGATGTTATGGAAGTTGAGCTCGAAAATCTGGTCGGGGTGACTCTCGAGTCCAGAGGGGGCAGGGGCAAGCCGTTGTGTGCTAAGTGGGTTTCGATTGTCTCCCCCCCGAAGAGGAAGGTCGAGGAGGAGGTTTTAGTCTGGGAAGGGTGGGTTTGGCTTCAGCAGACCATGCGAGACCTTCAACAGACCAGTATTCGCATTTATGAGGCCGACCTCGTCGACCACGCTGAGCTCGAGGCCTGCAGGAACTTAGCGCAGATAGTTCAGCAGCCTTTTGAAGCTGAAGGCCGAGCTGTGCGGCTCGACACTACTGTGCAAGCGGCCCGCCGTCTGGCGGAGTCTTGGCCACAGCGAGCGGCAAATCTGTCGGAGTGGATAGATCGGTGTACCGAAGCGCTCGATGATTGGGAGGAGGATTTTGCCGAAGCTCGCGCTGGCCTCGACAATAAAGCTAAGGTGAGCTGGGACCAGTGGCAGTCGGACGCCCTCTCGGGATCTGCTCGCAAGATGCATGAACTCACTCGGAACAAAAGCGCTTGGATGCCGAGGGTGATTGAAACGGCTCCTGGGATTTTTTTCGGCCGACCCGCGTGAGCTGCTCGCGAATGAAGCCAACGTGTTAGGTAAATTCTGGGAAGCGGCGTCCATGCCAGAACCTCTGGAGGTCTTGGACAGGAATTGTTTCGACAGGCTCGCGCCTGATGACATTCGGGCTGCCAGTAGAGGGTTCTCACCACACACGGCGCAGTCTCTTGACGGCATACATGTGCGGCACTTCAGCTTGCTCCCAGACGCGGGGCTCGAAGTGCTCAGTTGCCTGTTTCAAACCGTTGAAAAGATCGGGGTCTACCCGAAGGCCCTGTATTGGATGTTTTCCCCCTCCTCGAGAAACCAAAAGGGGGTTTGCGTCCTGTCCTGCTTTGTGCCTCTCCTGTTCGCCTGTGGGAAAAGCTCAGGCGACCGCAGCTGCTCCCGTACTGCGACGCGCACCCGCGCAAGTATTGGGCTTTTGGGGCGGGGAAGTCGGCGGAGGCGGAAATGTGGAAGCAGGCGGTCAAAGCGGAGGCCCAAGTGGCCGAAGGGGGTGTCACTGGAGGTTTTTCTTGGGATGGCACCAAGTATTATGAATCGTTCAGGCTCACCACGCTTAGGGATCGCTCTTTGCAGGCGGGCCTTAACCCTATCGTGGTCAAGGTGACCTACAACTTTTGGCGCGGGCCTCGGGTTTTGCGGCTTGGCTCGGACCACAGCCTTTCTCCGATGTGCGCGAAGTGTGGGTTGCCAGCAGGATCCTGCCTGAATGATATCAACGTTAAAGTTTATGCTATGGTCCCGTTCGACGGGTTCGTTGCCAGGAATCCTGCTGTTGACTTTGCTTCGTACGTCGGCGACGACACCGTCAGCGCGTGCGGCTCGGCGGACCACGTGGTCCAAGTTCTCGGTCAGGCAGCTGAGGACCTGGAACGTGTTTTAAAGGAAGATTTAGGTGTGGGTTTGGCCCCCGACAAACTCATGACCTTCGGCTCCACCCCCGACTTGTCGCTGCGAGTCGGACGCAGGCTCGGAACGCTGGCTGGGACGGTCGGGACACACGTGGTCTCGCTCGGGGTCGATTTAGCTCCAGGGGTGAAACGCAGCACCAAACAAGCCCTTGGTAAACGCAAGGCCCGAGTTGCGGGCATGATTCGCAGACACCGAAGGCTCCAGAGGTATAGGAAAGCTCTTCCGAGGGACACATACAGAATCGGGAAGATTTACACCGCTGGTGTTAAGCCCGCGGTCAGTTTTGGAGATACGGTGACTGGCATGTCCGACGCTGAACTTAAGCGTGCGCGAGGGGTGCTGCTTTCCTATCAGGCGCCGTGTCATGGAGGGGTCTCCCTCACTGCCAAGACAGCTCTGTTAGGCGATCCGATGTGGAGGAGCATGGTTGCTCCTGCGCTCGCTTGGGCAGCCGCTGTGTGGAGCACCACGGCGGCGCCGTGCACGGCCAGTTTCACGCTGCCCCAGCTTCGCAGCATGTGGGACTCCATCTCCCAGGAAGGAATCGAGGGGTGGAAGTGGGGGAAGACGAGGGGTCCTATCAGTCGGATGTTTTTGTCGCTTTATCGCATCGGGTGGAAATCGACTTCGTTTTTGATTTGGGTCGACGATAGGGGAGTCGAGTTGAGTCTGCCTTACAACTCCCCTGCCATGATCTCCGCGCTTTTAAAAGAAGGGGTGCAACGCCACCACGAGCGGGTCCTGGGACAGAAGCTCGGATGGCCTGTAGGAGATCGTGTCTGTGTCGAGCCGCTGCGACGTATCACTCAGCCTAGACTCCGAGGCATAGGACTGAATGCCCAAGGCAAGTACTTGGTCAAAACGGTCTTTTGCGACGGACTCTGGACCGAGGATCGTGCGCGGCAGGCTGGTTACCTTTCGACAGGTTGCTGCCCGCTGTGCCGGGAGCCAGATTCTGTTGCCCATAGGATTTACTGTTGTGCCAGCCCCGAGGTTTCGGCAGCTAGGACTAGTACGGGAGTGGAGGACAGCTTCATTCAGAGGGCGAGGGAAGGGGAGCACAGCTTCTACTCTGGTCTAAAGTTTGTCAACCCTGTCAAAGACATGCCGCCCCTGTCCGACCAGCACGAGCCTTATTTGTATGGCGCCGAGGGTCAGCGAATGGATTGGGCGGACACTACCGATTTGAATGTGGCGGGGGACGGGTCGTGTTTCCCGCACCAGATTCGAGATCTATCACGAGCAGCGTTTTCATGGGTGTTTATGGGAAGGGACGGAGAGCAGGTAGCAATTGCAAGATGCCCCGTTTGGCCGAGTCTTCCTCAGACGAGCCAGGCAGCAGAACAACTTCAGCTGGCCTTGCTCCCGATTTTCGTGCCCAAGTATGGGCAAGCTTGCTACAGTGATTGTATGAATGCCGTCAAGCTTCACAATGCCAGCACGGTTACTCAGTTGAGTCATAAACACAAGTATGCTGGACTCAGGCGCGGAGCTCTGCAGCACATGGAACGAGATGCGCATGCCCCAGCCGTATGGACCCCAGCACACAGGGACTCAGCCACGATAGATATGCTAGAAGAGCCTCAGCGGTCCATAGGTCGTGCCAACAGGCGTGCGGATCACGAAGCCAAGCGAGCGATTTTGTTGCACCCACAAGCTAGCCAAAACGAGTGGGACGATGTGAAGAGCTCGATCGAGAGAGTCGAAATGGTGGCGCGGATTTTGGCGAACGTTCTGCCGCTTTTTCCCAGGGCCACCCACACTCGGCCTCCTCGACGGGCCAAGAAGCAGAAAGTGTTTAAGCGTGCAGAGGGTTGGCACACTTGGGACACCTGGCTTTGGGGCCATCGGTGTTCGAGTTGCCTCAGATTTTATGCTGGCGCCCTGGAAGACAGACCGACAGTGGGCTGCGAGGGATTTCCCAAGATGGTCGAAGAACTACTGACCATCTCGCCAGAACATGGCCACGTCCTGGCTAGCACGCAAGTCGGGGACGAACAAAGTCCGCTGTTTTTCTGCATGAGCTGTGGCTACTACGCCCAGCACCGCCTGCACATGCTCTTGTCACGTTGTCTCAGGCCCCTAAGAGACAGCGACAGGAGCAGTGCAGGCACTACTGCGCTTCGAAGGCTCAGGAGAGGCCTGCACCCGAAGCGCGATGTACCAGTCTCTTGTGCGGAGCTCGAAGCTCCGCTCACGAGGGTCGAGGCGCGAACACATGTCGTAGCGTCCCGACCCCAGCAGACGCCAGCGTGGGCGTCGCCCCTTTCAAGCCTGGATGCCCTCCGTGCCCGTGTCGCGGCCAAGGAGGCTCGTGCGCAGGGCTGAGAGGGGAGGAGGTGAGGTCCAAGGTGACCATAAAAAAATCCTCCTCCTCCTCCTCCTCCTCCTCCTCCTCCTCCTCCTCCTCCTCCTCCTCCTCCTTCGAATACCGCCTCTCGAGACTTCTCTTCGGGGGGCGTCTCGGGGCTCCGAGGCGCCTCTCGGGAGCCCCACGGGGGGAGGGGCGCCCCTGCGGCCTCCGAGGCCGGGCCCCTGTTCCGTGGGTGCCGGAGCCCCCCCCCGCGGGAGGCAGGAGGGGGAGGAGGAGGAGGAGGAGGAGGAGGAGGAGGAGGAGGAGGAGGAGGAGGAGGAGGAGGAGGAGGAGGAGGAGGAGGAGGAGGAGGAGGGGCGGCCCGCCCCGTCGGCCCCGCAGGTGGACCCCGCCATGGCGGCGGCCTACATGGCCATGGCTGCGCAGTGCGCCGCCGCCGCGCCGCCCCCCCCCTCCCCCTCGCCTGGGAAGGGGGGCGGGGGAGTCGAGCAGCGGCGAAGCGTCCTGGCGTGCCTATAGTCCTACCAAGCAGTGCTCTGAGAACCTTCCTCTGTGGCTCCCGCGAAAAATGTTCTTAGAGCAGTTCTGGTGGGGACTGTCTTGTCTTCTCACAGCGGGTTTATGCCCCCCCCTCCCCCTCGCCTGGGAGAGGGGGCGGGGGAGGGTGGACAGACCTCCCACCCTTTGCACCTCGATTCGCGAATCGGCCGTTCTCGGTCCGCGGGAGGGCGGCGCGGCCCTCACTCTCTGCGGGTCCAGGCCCGCCAGTGTCGGCCCCCAGGCCGTTGTCACAGAGGAGCGAGGGAGAGCCCGCTGGAGGTTCACGAAAGGCTTACGGCAGGGGCCTGCGAAAGGGAGGCTTGGCGGAGCGGGGAGCGAGAGAGGCTTACGACAGGGGCGCACGAAGGTTTACGAGAGCGAGGAGCGGCAGAGGCTCACGAAGGCGAGGTTCGCCCACCGCCGCAGGGGAGGGTTGGGCGCCCGAGTTATCCGGGGTAACTCGGGTCCGGGGTAACTCGGGTTTGGATTCCCGAAAGAGGAACCCGAGTTAGCCCTGACCCGAGTTACCCTTGATGATTCGGGGCTCTGGACGCCCGAACTGTCCGGGGTAAGTCGGGTCCGGGGTAACTCGGGTTCGGATTCCCGAAAAACGAACCCGAGTTAGCCCTGACCCGAGTTACCCTTGATGATTCGGGGCTCTGGACGCCCGAACTGTCCGGGGTAAGTCGGGTCCGGGGCAAGTCGGGTTTGGATTCCCGAAAAAGGAACCCGAGTTAGCCCTGACCCGAGTTACCCTTGATGATTCGGGGCTCTGGACGCCCGAACTGTCCGGGGTAAGTCGGGTCCGGGGCAAGTCGGGTTCGGATTCCCGAAAAACGAACCCGAGTTATCCCTGACCCGAGTTACCCCCGATGATTCGGGGCTCTGGACGCCCGAACTATCCGGGGCAAGTCGGGTCCGGGGTAAGTCGGGTTCGGATTCCCGAAAAACGAACCCGAGTTATCCCTGACCCGAGTTACCCCCGATGATTCGGGGCTCTGGACGCCCGAACCATCCGGGGTAAGTCGGGTCCGGGGCAAGTCGGGTTCGGATTCCCGAAAAACGAACCCGAGTTATCCCTGACCCGAGTTACCCCTGATGACCCGGGAGGAGGCGGAGGAGGAGGAGGAGGAGGCGGAGGAGGAGGAGGAGGAGGAGGAGGAGGAGGAGGAATGACGAGGAGGAGGAGGAGGGGGCGAGGGAGAGCCCGCTCGCTCGGCAGGGGGGGAGGGGGGTGGGGGAAGAGGCGAGCGCGGCCACGGCGCGCCGTCCCCGTGGAGCCCGTCGGCGGCGTGTCGTCTTGCTGCTCCTCGTCGCTCTGGCTCGGGGGGTGTTCCAGAGGGGAGTAAACACACAGACACAATGAATCGTCGACTCCCAGAAAATGTGGGAAAAGATGGGAAGTGGGGGGGAAGACAGAAACCCAGAACATATGGGAGAATATGGGACATCCTTTTATTTGTGTGTATTTATTTGTGTGTCCTGGTGCCCCTTCAGGTATCCCGGAGTGTGTGTGTAGTTCTGTGGAGGGCGATCAGTGGAGAGGGAGCGTGTTGCCCCAAGTTGTTGCCAGAGGATGTCTAAAACATGTGTTAAACATGTCTTAAGCATGTAAGACACATGTTCAAATCATGTCTAGGACAGTTCTCCGGCATGTGAAGCACATTTCAAATTCAACGGCAGGACCGTTCAAGTGTCCGTTGTTGTGGCATCCACAAGTAAGTGTAGCTCTCTGCAGCAGAATCTCTCCCCGTGGGTCCCCCCCCCCCACGGCTGCGCGTCCCGGGTGTTGCCCTTGCTCCGCCGCTCACGGCTCCCCTCGTTGGCCCCCGGCGTCGTCGACGGCCATGCCTTGGCTTGGCATCGCTCGGACGTGTGCATTTTTCCTTTGGCGAGGACCATCGAGGAGCATCCTTGATCATTTGGCGAAAAAACCACGCACGAAATCAAAAAAAAGCACAGGCAATGGACGTCCGAGCGATGGCCAGTTGGTCCCCGTCCTCATTGGCCGACGGCTCCGGGTCGCTGTTGAGCCGGCCCCGCGCAGAAGGTGGCTCTGGGCTCGGGGCTCGCTACCCAGACCCCCTCGAGTTATGAACAAAAATCACGACGGGAGGTTTTTCATTATCTTTGGCCCTTGGGGGCCCTTACCGGCCCTCGGGACCGTCAAAAAACAACTCAGAACGAAAAACCGGTCCCAGGGAGTGGGTCGAGACCTCGGGGGGTCGACGTCATGAAAAAATCATGACGTCGGGGGTCTGGGTACGCGTGGTCGCCGGCGCATCTCTCCCCAGGAGCGGCAGGGGGGCCCAGTGCCCTCGTGGAGGCCGACGCCGAGGCCGCGCTGGCCACTTCCGCAGCGGGAGTGGTGCCGCCGCCTGGGCAGCACCTCGGGCAGAGGTCTGTCTCCAGGGCTCGGCCACAGTCGTGCAGCGCCGGCCAGTTCTAGGCAGCTGGCCCCCAGGGTTTGGGACAGCGCGGCAACGGGGGAGAGAGGTGAGCCCGTGGCCGCGAAGTCTCGTGCGCCTCCTCCGCACACGCGGGTGCGGGGGCGACGTCGACGTTGTCGCGGCGAGTTTCGGGGTGGTCGTGGGGGGGGGAAGAATGGGGACGCTCCGTCGGAGGGTTCGTCGCCCCCCCCCCGACTGTTACCCCATCTGGAGCATGCGCATCCACTGCCCCTGGCCAGGCCCATCCTCGGCCCAGGAGCGGCGTAGGCGCCCTCCTGGCTTGGCCAGGGAGGCATGTGCACCGACGCTGGGCACTGGATGGCACTGTGTGCCAGGCTTTGACCCAGGAGACGCTATGTGGCACCATATGAGACACTATATGGCACGATGTATGGCTCTGTATGCCCTCAAGCGGGGGAAAGCCATGACTATTGTATGGCCCTGCCTGTAACCACGCACAGCCCTGGTGGGCCCTGGGAGCGTCAGATCCGTTTTTTCGTACCGTTTCCAATCATCTGGATCTTCAGTGTGAAAGCGCCAGACATGCTGCTAGCCGTAGCGGAGACAGAACGGAAGGGGAACCAGAACCTGCAACAAAAGCGGCGATGGAACCATACCGAGATGCAACGGAATTGGAAGCAATTGCAAAACGGAACCGGCAACAAAAACGTCTTCGTCTTTCTCAGGGCCCACGGAGCCCAGCACCAGCAGTGGTTCAGCCTGCCGCCAGCCCAGGGTGGATTCGGCACTGGCGTCGTCGAGGGCGCCTCCGGCCAAACAAGGGCTCCCTCGAGGGCGCGAAGTTATTCGCGCTTCGCGGTCCTCGCTCCTTCTCCCCCTCCTCCTCGTCCTCCTATTCTCCCTTTGGGAGGGCGGCGCGAGAGCGCGAAGTTATTCGCGCTTCGCGCTTCGCGGAGCGCGAAGCGCGAAGCTGGGAGCCCTTGCCAGAGGGCTCCTCCTCCTCCCGATGCAGCACGGGGCGCGGGCGAGCGCGGCCTCGGAGAGTCGGCGGGGGTCGTCCTCGTCGGCCGGCCCAGGGTCGCCTCCGGCAGCGGCGCGCGGGGCCGTGGCCCGGAGCTCGCCGTCTGTGCAGCCAGCCCGTCGGGAGGGATTGCACAAAAAAACCCAAAAAAAAGCCACAAAAAAACCCAAAAAAACCAAAAAAAAACCCACAAAAAACCCACCCCCCACCCCCCCCCCCAAAAAAAAAACAACAAAAAAAACCCTCGCGGCAGAGTCTCGGCGCAGCGGTGGTGCACATTGCCGACCGTGAGCCGCAGCACCGCCGCGTGCTTGTGCCGTCCCTCAGCTGCAGAGGCGACGGCCTCCAGGAGGTCGCGAAGGGCGAGCCAGTTGTAGTGCGCCATGATGACAGATACCTTTGATTAACGAGATGCGACCCTTGCTGATCCCCTCCTGACCGAGGTGGCTGTAGACATTTTCGACTCGAGAGAGGTCCAGCTCAGCCTGCATAACCAGGTGGATGTGCGCCACATGTCCATGTGCGGGACGTCAAGGACAGAGCCGCCGTCGAGGATGTTTTGGAAGCCGCCCTCCGCCGCTTGGCTGTCCACGAGGACGTGGGTGGCTGCTCGGCCACAGCCACCAGGTGCAGCAGGGCAAGGCTTCTGGCGCGCTGTGAGTTCTGCATCAGGCACCCGGACGCAGCGGTTGGGCCGGCGGCCTGCGCCGTAGAAGGATTCCGCAGGCGGCGTGGGCGAGGAGGGGGTGCGCTTGGTCGGTGTGCGCTGCGTCCGTGGCCGCGCAGACCTTCGGCAGCGGGTGGTCGGGGCAGAGTAGTTCGGTGGCAGATCACGGGAGCCTTGCGTGTCCTCGCAGTCCTGTCTTCAGAGTGCACTGGCGTGTGCCAGCGTATGGTAATCAATGGGAAAGCGCCGATGTAGCTTCGATGCGTGGCGATTCAGTATCGACTAGCGTCGAATGATGTCGATTCGCAAGAGCCAACAGGATGGTATGGTAGGCTCAGTAAGCTCCTCCGAGTTGCCACCGAAATGTGGTAGCGAGTCATCCTTCAAGGGCTGCGGGATGATATGCGCCGGGTGCGAGGCACTGGCGACCTGCAGGTCGAGGAACCGCGGGTCTTCCACGAGCAACCCGCAGCCACGGGGGTGAGGCGGGAGAGTTTGCCACTCCCAGAGGTGCTCTTGAGCTTCTTCCTCCTTCTCCTCCTCCTCCTCCTCCTCCTCCTCCTCCTCCTCTCCTCCTCCTCCTCCTCCCCCTCCCCCTCCCCTCCTCCCCCTCCCACCCCTCCTCCTCCTCCCCCCTCCTCCTCCTCCTCCCTCCCTCCTCCTCTCCTCCTCCTCCTCCTCCTCCTCCCCTCCTCCTCCCTCCTCCTCCTCCTCCTCCTCCTCCTCCTCCTCCCCCTCCTCCTCCAACGATGAATTCATGCATCAACTTACTCATGCATGAGTCATGTGTTAAAGATCCGATATCTTTAAAAATCCCATGTATCAAAACCTGCCCTGCAAGGGGGAGGGGGGGTCGGCACCTGCCTGGGGATTATTGTTTTAGTATTTGTTTACCTTCTGGGGGTATTTTTCCCAACCCTCCTGCGTTGGGTTCTCGTTTTGAATAGAGCACTGCTCGCGCGAACCTTCCTTCCTTCCTTCCCGCCCCTCTCTTCCCCCCTGCCTTTGACCTCGCCATCCCTGGGGGGCTACGATCTGTGAAACTGTCGCCACTTTCGAGGCCTGCTGGGGGGCCCAGCACAGTGGGTACTCACCGCGGACTCAAATTAGACCTCGCCATCCCTGGGGGGCTGCGATCTGTGAAACTGTCGCCACTTTCGAGGCCTGCTGGGGGGCCCAGCACAGTGGGTACGCCACGGGCGGACTCAAATTAGACCTCGCCATCCCTGGGGGGCTGCGATCTGTGAAACTGTCGCCACTTTCGAGGCCTGCTGGGGGGCCCAGCACAGTGGTACTCACCGCGGACTCAAATTAGACCTCGCCATCCCTGGGGGGCTGCGATCTGTGAAACTGTCGCCACTTTCGAGGCCTGCTGGGGGGCCCAGCACAGTGGGTACTCACCGCGGACTCAAATTAGACCTCGCCATCCCTGGGGGGCTGCGATCTGTGAAACTGTCGCCACTTTCGAGGCCTGCTGGGGGGCCCAGCACAGTGGGTACTCACCGCGGACTCAAATTAGACCTCGCCATCCCTGGGGGGCTGCGATCTGTGAAACTGTCGCCACTTTCGAGGCCTGCTGGGGGGCCCAGCACAGTGGGTACACACCGCGGATTCAAATTAGACCTTGCCATCCCTGGGGGGCTGCGATCTGTGAAACTGTCGCCACTTTCGAGGCCTGCTGGGGGGCCCAGCACAGTGGGTACTCACCGCGGACTCAAATTAGACCTCGCCATCCCTGGGGGGCTGCGATCTGTGAAACTGTCGCCACTTTCGAGGCCTGCTGGGGGGCCCAGCACAGTGACGCCACGGGCAGATTCAAATTAGACCTCGCCATCCCTGGGGGGCTGCGATCTGTGAAACTGTCGCCACTTTCGAGGCCTGCTGGGGGGCCCAGCACAGTGACTCACCGCGGACTCAAGTTAGACCTCGCCATCCCTGGGGGGCTGCGATCTGTGAAACTGTCGCCACTTTCGAGGCCTGCTGGGGGGCCCAGCACAGTGACGCCACACGCAGATTCAAGTTAGACCTCGCCATCCCTAGGGGGCTGCGATCTGTGAAGCTGTCGCCACTTTCGAGGCCTGCTGGGGGACTCAGCACAGTGTCGCCACGCGCGGACCCAAATTAGACCTCGCCATCCCTGGGGGGCTGCGATCTGAGATCCCCGCCTTCGAAGTGGCTAGGGTTGCTCAGGGATTGTAACTAATCAGCTTTATCTAGTCCTTGTCCTGTAGCCAGTGTCCTGCGAGTGTCCCGAATTCCGTCTGCAGACATATGTAACCCTCGTTCCGTCATCGCACCCTTTATAAAGTGTCCTACATTATTTGCGCCCTGCGTTTGCGCAGGGGCTGGGTACGTCGCCAGGGTAATTCATTTTTCGTCGAAAATCCTAACCTTAGACGAAGGGGGTAGGGGAGGGGGCGGCGCCTGCCTGGCATCCTCGGGGCCTCCCCTTCCCGCCCCCCGTGGAGCGGGCCCCGCCGCGCGCCCCGTGGGGGGGCCGAAGGTACCTGCAGCAGGGCCTCACCCAGCCCGCGGCACCGCAGGAGCCGCGCGCCGCCCGCCAGGGGGGGGGCGGCGGCGGCCGCGGCCGCGGCCGCGCTGCAGGGTGCTGCCGGTGCGACCAGGGGGAGGAGGAGGAGGAGGAGGAGGAGGGGGAGGATGGGTGGGCGCAGCTTCAAAGGAAGCCCTGGCCGCCGTCAACGGAAGCGAAGACGACGGCCAGGGCCGCCAGAAGTTCCTCGCTCGGTGAGTCCCTCGCCGCCGCGAGCGCGGCGCAGCCGGACGTGGCGACGAGGGGGGCCCCGAACAAGCCCGGACGAGGAGCCCCCAGACAGAAGCCCAGACAGGCTTCCGCTCCGACCGCAGCCCTCCGACGGAGGACCAAGGCCAGGCGGAGTCCACCCCCGCGGGGACAAAAACGGGCAACCCCCAGCAGCCGCCGGCGGCCGCCCCCACCCCACGGGGACGCGGGTTCGCACACCAAGTGCGAGCCCGATCCAAAGCGGCCAGCCCCCAAACCGACGCCAGGAGCCGCCGCGCCAAAATTTCAGAGGCGAATCCAGCGGGCCCGAGCCGTCCTCAGCGCTTGCGCGGGCGGCGCGCGCGGCGCTGCTCAGGGCGGGCGGCTTGGAGCGCCCAGAGTTCAGCCTCCATCTTGACCACCTTGTCGGCGACGGCGGTCTGGACGAACTGCCGCTGGAGGATCACCAGCCGTCGCCGTCCACCAGCGTAGCCACGCTCGTCGAAGACGTCCTGGTCCTCGCCACCGCCGCTAGGGTTGGACCTCGCAACCACCGCCTTCAGCCAGTCGGTGGCCGTGGAGCTTGGACCGCACTGGATGTCAGGCTCCATCCGCACCCCAAGCTGCTCCGCCACTGGCTTCGGCGAGAAGTGACCGTTCGGCGAGAACCGATCCTCCGCCAGGGAGCACGACCGGACCTCGCCGCCCTTGAAATCCGCATCGCCCGCCAGCGCCGCCGTTACGACATCGGCGGGCTTACCCAGGGGCTCCTCCTCCTGCTCCTCCATCTTGGTGCCGACCACGCCCACGAGACGAGCCACGTCCATCTCGTACACGCCCTGGCCGATCATCTTCAGCGCGTCGCCCTCAGAGTCGCACACGCCGAACCCGTCTAACGCCTGCTCGGGGCCGTTCGTGACGACCATCTGCTCCGCAATGGTGCCGCCCACGTCCTCGGGCAGGCCCACGTCCCACGCGTGCACGTGCTTGCCGAGCGACTCGCCGAGGCCTACGCTCGTGGAGGCTGCAGCAAACGCAGGGACGCGAGACAACACGTCCGCCCGCAGCTCGAGGAACAGGTCTTTGAGGTCCAGGAGACTGGCCTGGACTGGCTGCGCGTCGAAGCCGTCGTCGTCGACGAACTGGCCGACCACGGAGACCTTGTCGGGCTTCGCGTCGACGAGCAGGCCATCGCCGTGCACCTCCGCGACGGCCTCCTCGGTGGTGTCAGTGCCGACGCCGGTGTCGCGCCCCTCCACAGACATCTCCCCAACCTCGTCGGCCTCCCCGTCCGAGCCGATGAAAAACACCTTCACGCCGGGCATCTCGGCCAAGTCGCCGTTCTGCGCGGGCACCGCCATGGTGTCGGCCTTGCCCAAGAGGCAGTTCCGGAGCTTGGCCACCACGGCCTCCGCCTCGCAGGGGTGGCGCAGGAAGGCAGCCGCTGCATCAAGCGACCTGCAGCTCCGCACGAGGTCCCCGCGCATGCGCTCCCCACGGTCGCGGCGCTCGGCCAGACCTGCGGCCAGCGTCGAGCCGCCCACCAGGGCAACGATCTCCGCAGCCGCGCCGAGCACCGCCTGCGCCCGGCCACCCAGCGCGGGGCGAGCAAGCTGCGTGGCCTCCTCCGTTGTGGCCGCCGCGCGCGCTGTGGGCGTCTCCTGCGGCCCCGCAGAGACCGCGGAGCCAGCAGCCTGGAGCCGCAGCATGAGTTCGGCCGCCGCCTCCACCGACGGCGCCGAGGCCACGGAGACGCCGTGGCGGACAGTGAAGACACCGCGTCCGCCTCGCCCCATGGCCGCCCTCGCACGCAGAGCGTAGCGCGGTCTGGCGCTCGCGGAGCGCCCCGTACGGATCCAGCGCACTAGACCCTGAGCCCAAATGGCTACGGAGGAGGAGGGGGAGGAGGAGGAGGAGGAGGAGGAGGAGGAGGAGGAGGAGGATGAGGAGGAGGCGGAGAAGAGGAGCAGGAGGAGGAGGAGGAGAACGGAGGAGGAAGAGGAGCAGGATGAGGAGGAGGAGGAGGAGGAGAAAATGAGAAGAAGAGGAGGAGAAGGAGGAGGAGGAGGAGGAGAAAAGGAGGAGGAGGAGGAGAAGAAGGAGGAGGAGGAGGCGGAGGAGGAGGAGGAGGAAAGGAGGGAGGAGGAGGAGGAAAGGAGGGAGGAGGAGGAGGAGGAGGAGGAGGAGGACCAGTGTAAGCCCAGGACTCTTCAACGATGTTCGAATACATCCTCCCTCCAAGCTCCCTCTTCATGGGCCCCTACAAGGGTTCATTCCACTGAGGGAGGTGCCTCGTTGGGAGGCAGCCGTTTGAAGACCCTTAGCGTGCCCACACACCATTCTCGGGACTCCAACGCCACGAATCAACATGATTGTTGCGTCTTGACGATCCGGATTCGTGCTAGAACACCATTCCTGGGACTTACACAACGCGAATCAACGTAGTTGTTGCGCCCTCGCAATCCCGAGTCCTTCCAAGGCACTATTTCTGGCACGTTGACCATGGGAACCCGTGAACCTCTTGAACATGCTTAAGACGAGTGCTCGCGGCTATAAAGCGAGAGCTACATTTTGAAAAGGAGCCGCCCTCAGTCCGTGAAGCCCTTGCACATTTTGGAAGACGAACGTGCGCGGCGCGAAGGTGAGAGCCACATTTTGAAAATCGCTTGCCCTCAACCCGTGAAGCCCCTGCAAGTTTAGAAAAGGAATGGGCGCGGCGCTAAGGTGAGAGCCACATTTTGAAAACCGCTTGCCCTCAACCCGTGAAGCCCCTGCAGGCTTAGAAAACGAATGGGCGCGGCGCTAAGGGTGCGAGCCACCTTTTGAAGACCACCCGCCCTCAATCCGTGGAGCTCTTGCAAGTCTTTCGAATGGGCGCGGCCATGAGGCGAGAGCCACATTTTGAAAAACCACCCGCCCTCGCTTTGTGGGCGACAGAGGAAGGGCGAGGGCGACCAGGCGGAGGAGAAGGAGAAGGATGAGGAGGGACACTAGCGGAGTCATCATCATCACCACCGCCACCATCATCATCATCATCATCATCATCATCATCAACAACAACAACATCGGCATCGGCATCGGCATCGGCATCATCATCACCACCATCATCATCACCACCATCCTCATCATCATCATCATCACCATCATCATCATCATCACCACCACCACCACCACCATCATCATCATCATCATCATCATCATCATCATCATCATCATCATCATCATAGTGAAACAGTTGTTTTTCGCGCACGGTTTTCCGGGTGACACGTGTGACACCTGTGTCTTTTCACATTGTATGGTCCCATGTCGACGCCCAGATTACGAGTGAAACAGTTGTTTTTTCCCCGCGGTTTCCGGGGTGACACGTGTAACCCTTTTGTTTTGTTTTTTTCGCGCTGTATGTTCCCATGTTGACGCCCAGAGTGCGAGTAAAACCATGAATTTGTCTCACACATGTTCGGGGTGACGCGTGTCACCCCCGTGTTATTTTACACTGTAGGGTCCCAGGCTGGCGCCCGGAATACGAGTTGAACAATGTTTTTCCTCACACGGTGTTCGGGGTAATATGTGTCACCTTTGTGTCGTCTCACGCGGTATTGTCCCATGTCGACGCCCAGAATGCGAGTGAAACCGTTTATTTGTCTCGCACGATTTTCGGGGTGGCGCGTGCCACTTTTGGTTTTTTCGCGCTGTATGTTCCCATCTTGACGCGCAGATTACGAGCGAAACACTTTGTTGTTCTCACACGGTGTTCGGGGCGACACGTGTCATCCTTGTGTTGTTTCACATTGTATGTTCCCATGTTGACGCCCAGAGTACGAGTGAACCAATGTTTTTTCCGCACGGTTTTCGGGGCGGCACGTGTCATCATGTTGTTTTTATCGCCCTGTATGTTCCCATGTTGTTTCCATATTGCGAGTGAAACAATTTGTTTATCTCAAGCTGTTTTCGGGATGACACGTGTCTCCCTTGTGTTGTTTCGCACTGTAAGGTCCCATGTCGACGCCCAGACTACGAGCGAAGCAGTTGTTTTTTCTCACACGGTTTCCAGGGTGGCACGTGTCACTCTTGTATTGTTTCGCATTGTATGTTCCCATGTTGACGCCCAGACTACGAGCGAAACAGTTGTTTTTTCTCACATGGTTTCCGGGGTGACACGTCTCACTCTTGTATTGTTTCACCCTGTATGTTCCCATGTTGACGCCCAGAGTGCGAGTAAAACAATAATTTGTTCTCGTACATTGTTCGAGGTGACACCTGCCCCCCCCCGTGTTGTTTCACACAGTATGGCCCCATGTCAACTCCCATACTTCGTATCACACAGTTCGTTGTTCTCACACGGCTGTCAGGGTGACACGTGTTTCATTTGTGTTGATTCACGTTGTATGGCCCCATTATGGCGCCCAACATACGAGTAAACCAATTTGTGTTTCTCGCTGTCTTTTCGGGAAGGCAGGTGTCACTCTTGTGTCGTTTCGCACTGTATGGTCCCATGTCGACGCCCAGAATACGTAGCACCCCGCATATGCGGATAAGAGTGAGGGGGCGGTGGAAACGTCGGCAGTTTGCGAGACTCTGGAGAAGCCCGCCGCAGGCGCCAAAGTTTCACAACTCATACAACGAACCCGCCGCAGGCTTCGATTCTTTCGTTAAACCCATGTGGGCAAGTCGCGGGTGGGTGGCGGGTTGGTCGCAAATGGGTCGCGGGTGGGTCGCAGGTGGGTCGCGGCCCAGGTCGCGAATGGTTCACAGTGGTTCGCGGGTGGGTCTTGGGCGGGTCGCGGGTGGGGGCGCGGGTGGGTCGCGGGTGGTGTCGCGGGGGGGTCGCGGGGGGGTCGCGGGTGAGCCGCGGGTGGGTCGCGGGTGGGTCCCGGGTGTGTCGCGGGTGGGTCGCGGGTGGGGTGCGGGGTGGGTCGCGGGTGGGTCGCAGTTGGGTCGCGGGTGGGTCGCGGGGGAGTCGCGGGTGGGTCGCGGGTGGGTTTTGGGCGGGTCGAGTGTGGGTCGTGGTTGGGTCGCGGATGGATCGCGGGGTTGGTCGCGGGTGGGTCGAGGGGTGGGTCGCGGGTTGGACGCGGGTTGGTCGCGGATGGGTCGAGGGGAGGGTCGCGGGTTGGGTCGCGGGTGAGTCGCGGGGTGGGTCGCGGAGTGGGTCGCAGGGTCGGTCGCGGGTGGGTCGCGGGTGGGACGACGACAACAAACAAACAAACAAACAAACAAACAAACAACAACCAACACCAACAACAACAACAACAACAACAACAACAACGCAATAAGCATCATCTTCACCGCGGATCGCTTTTTCAGCCACGCACTCATAGACAATGTATGACCGTTCGGCCCCCTCATTCTGACGAGTAAAATATTTAATTGCTTCTCACGCTGCTTTCGGGGTGACACGTGTCACCCTTGTCGTTTTGTTTGCGCTGTATGTTCCCATGTTGACGCCCAGACTTCGAGTGACACATTGTTTTTCTCACACGGTGTTCGGGGTGACACGTGCTCCCCCCCCGGTGTTGTTTCACCTTGTAAGTTCCCATGCTGACGCCCACCCAGAGTACGTGTGCATCAATATGTTTTGTATCACACGGCTGTCAGGGTGACACGTGTCATCTTTGTGTTGTTTCATGTTGTATGGTCCCATGTCAATGCCCAGAATACGAGTGAGGCAGTTGGTTGTTCTCGCACCGCTTTCGGGGTGACACGCGTCACCCTTGTGTTTTTCGTTCGCAGTGTACGTTCCCATGCTGTTTCCCAGGACACTCATGAAACAACCGTGTTCTCCCGCACGGTTCTCGGGATGACACGTGACACCCCCGTGTGGTGGAGGTAGCGGTCGTCCATCGATGCTCTCGAGGGTAGGCGCCGTGCCCGCAGGGGTGCGCGGCCTTTCAGGGCACCAGTGCGTCCTTGCGTTGGTTTTGTTCGTGGCTTGGGCGACGACTCGGCAAGGATGGGGGTTTATCAGGCTACCCGTGCATCCCTCGGTTTTCGGCCGCGCCCCGCTGGAAGAACTTAAACATGGCTTTGCAAGGCCATTGCATCCTTACCGCATATCTTTACTATGCGCTTTGACTGTAATAGGTTCTATCCGATTTTCATCCACAGAATCTGATCGGAGTTGGTTCGTGCGGCAGTTTGAATCAGATTGCAATGTATGCAAACATCATTGCGCGCCAGATCGAGTTGCCCGCCAGATTGGCTTGTGAGGGTCACCAGATTGCATGTTGTACCACATTGCCAGGTTGGACACCTCACCAGATTGGCCAGTTTGGTTTTAGGGCCAGACTGCAAGATCGGAACGTTCGCCAGATTCGGGCGGGGGGTGCGCCATAATCTTTGTTCAAGCAGCCCGCCTGATTGGGCAATGTGCCAGATTGCTTTTCAAATGATACATCTGATGTTGGGTTAAGTCGGGCGTGTCCCCCTACAGGGGGATCTTCGAAGAAAAGTAACACATACCCCAAAAATACCCCAAAAAGGTAAAACGATACTCAAAAAATAGTCCCCGGACTATTTTTGGACAATTTGTTTAACTATTTTGTTTTTATTATTTTTCGTCGACAAGCCCCCTGTAGAGGGGGACAGGCCCGACTTAAATGTTGGGGCCGCTTGCCAGACTGATCATGTTGGAGTTTGTGTCTGTTCGCCACGTTGGACCAGAGATCGACTCCCTCGCCAGGTTGCCAGGTGGGACCCGCAAGATTGCCAGGCTGGTTTCGAGTAGCCCGTCCTTGGGCTTACATCGATGTTTATGCTTACGTGTATGCACGCAGCTACAATTTGCATCCCTATATATATATATATATATATATATATATATATATATATATATATATTTATATATATATGCATACATGCGTATATGTGTATAGTGCGTATATTTGCACAGCTTCTTCCCCAAAGAGTGCTTGCACTTACAGGACCCTTCGTCGTTTTCGAACGAACGGGGCTGGTGTGCCGATTTAGCGGTTATGTGGCCGCCGTCGCCGCCCTGTCGCCGCCTCGTCTCCGCCCGTCGTTTGGGCCGGTGTGCTGTTCTTTTCGGCTATGTGGCCGCCGTCGCCGCCTCGTTGCCGCCTTAGATTGCAAAACAAGATTGCACATCATATATTGCATCACAAAGATTGCACCGCATAGCCCGAGAGCGCCCAGGAGCGCCCAGGACTCTGGGCTGTGGGCCCTTTAAAGGACATGTGCCGAATCCAATGCAGAGAACTCAGAGGCACCTGAGGACATTCCAACTCGTGCCTCAGTGCAAGGTGGGAAAATGCCTAGGGATTTGTTGATGGCTCCAGGAAATCAGTGCGTGTGGGAAGTCCAGGGCCTTTTGGAGAGAAGGGGGGGAGCAGGAGGAGGAACAGGAGGAAAAGGAGGAGGAGGCAGAGGAGGACGAGGAGGAGGAGAAGGAAGAGGGGGGGAAAGGAGGGAAGGATGGGGCGGCGGAACGCCTTCCTCCTCCTCCTCCTCCTCCTCCTCCTCCTCCTCCTCTCCGTCCCTCCCTCCTCCTCCTCCTCCTCCTACTCCTCCTCCCTCCTCCTCCTCCTCCTCCTCCTCCTCCTCCTCCTCCTCCTCCACCTCCTCCTCCTCCTCCTCCTCCTCCTCCTCCTCTCGCGTCTCCCTCCCCCATCGGTTATACATATTTCTCGTCTTGGTCCTCCTTCCTTTTTTTTCCTTCCTTACTCCCTTCGCCCCTTTCTCATCCTGATCCTCGTCCTTCTCATTCCTTCTTCAACATCCTTCCTCCATCATCCTTCCTACACCTTCCCGTCATCCTCCCCATTCCCCTACCTTTGTATCCTCCCCTATCTAACAGGGCTTCTCTTACAGCCAGCCTGACACGCCTTGTTACGATGATTCCGACAACTCACCCCGCTCCTTGTGCCTCAGCCGCCTCCGTCACCGCCTCAATTTCCTCATCCGATTGCCCTCCGAGAGTCCTCTTCCTTCCTTGCCTCCCTCCATCCCTCCCCCCATCCTCCTTCTCGTCCCTTCCCTTCCTTTTCCCCTCCCCCCCCTCCTCCGGTTACACTTCCTCTCCTCCTCCTTCCTCATCCTCCCTCCTCTTCATCCTCCTCCTCCTCCTCCTCCTCATTCACTGCCTCTCGTCCCCGCCTCTCTTCCTTCCTTTCCTTGCCTCCTCCCGCCTCTTCCATCGCCCCCTGGCCGCCCAATCTGCAGATGCCCTCGGTGGCGCCGCCGCTGCCCGGGATGCCCTCCGCCGGGTGCGCCCCCGCGCGTCGGGCGCTGGGCGACCAGGGGCCGTGCCGATCAGGCAGGAGGAAAAGGAGGAGGGGGCGGCGGCAGGAGGAAGGAGTAGGGGGGGGGACGGGGGGGGAGGAGGAGGGGGGAGGAGGGGCGGGGGGAGGATGGAGGAGGGGTGGGAGGAGGAGGAGGAGGAGGAGGAGGAGGAGGAGGACGGAGGAGGAGGAGGAGGAGGAGGAGGGAGGAGGATGAGGGAGAGGGGAGGGGAGGGGGAGGGGATGGGGGAGGAGGACAAGCTAGGTGCGCTCGCGTCATATCTGACGTCCTACCCCTCCCTCCCATCCCTTACCATGGCGCTGATTTTCTCTATCCGCGGACGCGTGTCGTAGCGGACCTGTGGCTCCGCGCGCGCGTGCGTAGTGGGTGGTGGTGCGCGTGCGTGCGTGCGTGCGTGTGTGCGTGGTTGTGGTTGTGGTTGTGGTCTGGTGGTGTGGTGCTGGTGGGTGGGTGGGTGGTGGTGGTGGGTGGTGGGTGGTGGTGGGTGGTGGTGGTGGGTGGTGGTGCGATGGTGGTGGTGGTGGTGGTGGTGGTGGTGGTGGTGGTGCGGCGCGGTGGTGGCGGGCGGATGGGCGCGCGAGAAAGAGGCCCGCGCTGGGGCGAGAACGCCATCCTGAACGACGGAGGCCAAACACCGATCCGAAAATGAGGCCCACGCTGCAGCGGGAGCACGATTCGGAACGAGTCGGGAGCAGAAATGAGGCCGGCGCCTCAGCGAGAGCAGCATTTTGGAAAAAACGCAGGCGAAAACCCGTTTCCCGGGAATCCTGTGTGTAAAAAAAAAACAGTACGCGGGGGGGGGGGTCGGCGATCACCTACCGCCATCAGGGGAAGTGGGAGAGTATTTTCATATTGAGTAATTGTGGAGGAGAGGAGGAGGAGAGGAGGAGGAGGGAGGAGGAGGAGGAGGGGAGGAGGAGGAGAGAGGAGGAGGAAGAGGCGGTAGGAGGGAGGAGGGGGGATGACGGCTGGGGGGAGGAGGCTGCGGGGGTGGATGGAGGAGGGGGGTGGGAGATGAGGATAAGGAGGAAGAGGAGAAGGAGGTCGATATGAGCAGGAGGAGGAGGAGGAGAAGGAGGAGAGGAGGAGGAGGGAGGAGGAGGAGGAGGAGGAGGAGGAGGAGGAGGGGGAGGAAGAGGAGGAGGAGGAGGGAGGGGGGGAGAGAGAAAGAAAGAGGCGGTAGGAGGAGGGGGATGACGGCGGGGGAGGACGGCGGGGGGAGGACTGCGGGGGGAGGATGGAGGAGGGGTGGGGGGATGAGGAGGAGGAGGAGGAGAAGGAGGAGCTGTTCTGCCTCGAGCGACCGCGTGCTCCTACAGCGATCCTCACGCACACAGCATCATGTGCACGAGACGCGAGCGATGGAGCGTTCGGCGACAGGGGCCAGCTCGCACTTCGTAGGTGGCGTCTGTGTTTGGTCGTTCATGGTACTGCGCGTGATTGCACACAACGTGGGGCATGCAGACCATGCAAGATTGGAGGAGATCAGCGCAGCAGTGAAGACGACGGACGTGTTGCTTCTCTCTGGGACGGGCCGACATGTCGACATCGATTTCGACAGCTCTCAGCATCACTTGCCCCATCACCTATGCATCTCCTTTGGGTGGAGGAAGTCGCAGTGGGCCAATAAGTCGTGTGGGGTTGCCATTCTGCTCGGGGGCCGGGTCGACAGGTCCATTCAGCAGGTCGTCGCCCCATCAAAAGCCACGGGGATCCAAGGTCGAGTCGGGAAAGTTTTATTTCGAGCCCATGCTGTGTCGGTCTGTTGCTTCGCCGTCTACCTCCCCCCTCGAGGAACACAGCCTGCAGTTCTTGCAACATGCATTTCGAAAATACTGGTGTGGATCGACAGGGAATTGGATAAATGCGGGCACCACACCATGGTGATAATCGGAGGAGACATGAATTGTAAGTTCGGGCTTCGGAGAGACATCGCGGGAAGGCGTTACGTGCTCGGGGACGAGGTGGTGGGGGTGGTCGAGCCTGGTGAGGAGACAGCCGCTTCCACAGCTATCCGGCGTTTCGCTGAAGATCATCATCTCAGCATTGGCAGTTCTTACTGGCGCACGGGGCCTGCATTGTACAGAAAAGGTTACACGAGCAAAATCGACCACATATTGGTGCCGACAGTGGCCAAGCAGAGAATACTTAAGATGCATACGCTGGTGGGTCTCGGGAGGCGTCTTCAGAAAACCACATCGGTCGATTTGGACGACCACGTACCGCTCATGATGGAGATGCAGATAGACAAGCTGCACCCTGTCAAGCCCCTGAACACTCCGGCTGTGGACCGTGATCGATTGATGCAGGCGTACCAGCACGGCCACGAGCGAGAGCAGTTCCTCGTAGCATTGGAGGCAGCCGTTACCGCAGTGCCTCATGAAGTTTGGAGCACAATGATTGAGGATCTTGATGTCCAAGGTTGCTGGGACCACCTGTCGAACAGCATCCGGGAGGCCACAGTAACTGCATTCCCTCGTAGCGAGCAGCGGTCAGCTGAATACCAGGAGCTGCGGGAAGCCAGGCTGGAGCTGATGCGACGTCGGGCCGACCTGCGTGAAGAGCTCCCGCACGCCGACTTCGAAAGCATTTGCCTCGAGCTCACCTTGACCACCCGCAGACTGCAACGCCTTCGGCGTCGACAGCGTCGTGAGCGGGATGAGCACCTGATTGGGGAAGTGCAGGACGCTTGGAGGCGCCGGAGGTTTGCCGAGCTTCACCGTCTTCGAGTACAGCTGGCGGGGACCGGGCGTGGACCAAAGAAGAGATACGTGTTCGGACACCGACCAGGGCTCACATGTGCCGAGTGGGAGGCTGGTCTTAGCGCTGCCGCCGGGGAGGGAGGGATGTCGTGTGAGAAAATCGATTGGGCCCAATGGAGCGGCCGACACACTGACTGTACATGGGGCATGCCTGTAGAGGACGCCAAGCGGCAAGCATTGAAGGACAGGGCTGGACAATTGCGATACCTCCGCAGGTGCCCAAAACGACGTGCAGGTCCAGCGTGGGGAGTGTTCGCCGAGGCCCTCGCCCTTGCGCTCGACCCCGAGAAGTGGCAGAACGTGCGCGGCCATGGCCTAGGATACGACGCGAACAGTTTCGCGCCCGAGGTGTTCACAGGGCGGTACAACGACCTGCTCGTACTTATGAGAATAACGGCAACCGCACCACCATCAAGTCTCTGCTCGCAAGCGTTCGTGGCGCCGAAAAGGAACGGCGAGCTGGGCATGAAGGGCCTCCGTGTCTTGCACTGTTTTGACTGCTTCGGGATGGCGTTCTTTGGCGCACTTCATCGCGCAGCCCAGCGGCCCGTACCGGAACCTTGGGCGCACGGAGCCTACCGACGACGTCGGCGTGAAGGATGTCTGCTCGCACTCTCGAGTAGCCAATGGCGTTGCTTCGACATCGGGGTGTCGCACACGCTGACCAATTTCTTGACGGCACCAACGCCTTCGCGTGCACCAGGCGCACGGCGCTGCGTGAGCTGCATATGGACACAGGGAGGCGGCATGACGTGAGATTGTTAAACCAAGCCGTGGACGGCATCACTATCCACGTGAACGGCCTCGACGTCCGAGCTATGTTCAAACCTGGGACGGGCACCGCCATGGGGCACAGCATCGCGGCTGGGGATTTCGTAGACGTCTACACCCCGAACGTTGACAAGTGGAACAAGGCCTTAAAGCTGGCGGACGTTAGCTACACGTGGCTCGAGACTACTTGCCCGCTCTCCGGGGTCCAGGTCGACTTAGGCATCGGCACTTTCGTCGACGATATCAGCCGCGTCCACATCCACTCCTGCGCCGTGAACGCCGCGAGGGTGGCAGGACAGCGCAACTTCGCGACGGGACGGCTGAACCAACACCTGCAGGAAACGGACCACATGCTCAACGAGGGGAAAACCAACCGTATCATATCGTTACGTGGGTGTGGTTCTTGGGATTGCGCATGCCGCTTGAGTTCTGACAGCGCCGTGAAGGGCCGGGTGTGCCGTGAAGCTCGGCTGTTAGGCCCCATTTTGTCATACGATGGGGTCCTGCGCGCGGAGGTGAGTAAGCGGATACGTGCGGCCAAGGTCGGATGGCGCAGCCTTGGTTCCGTGTGGTTCCAGAGTTTCCCATTGAGGTTGCTTCGAACGTTGTTCATCGCATTTGTGCAGTATGCAGCTCTGTCTGGGCTTACCTCGTTTGTGATCCCGACGAAATTCACATATCATATTGACACCGCGTTGATCAAGTTATTGCGGTCGTTGATGAAGGGTAAGGCGAGGAAGGATGTTAACGGGAGCATTCGAACGATGACGAACGACGAGGTGCTATTGTAGTGGAGGCTGGCCCCGGCCCACATAGAGCTAAGGTTACAAAGACTCAAATGGTTGCAAAGCATGTCCCGTCACCCTGCTTACCACGCACACGTACTAGGTGGCATCTACGGCACCGCGCGATTGGATGAGAAAGTTGGTTGGCCAAGGATGGTGGACGGACGACTAGGAACGCACAGCACACCGTGGGCACGCATGTTTCAGAAGGATTTGGAGGAGTTTGCGGCGGCTTCCGACGATTTCGCGGGGGCATGGGAAGATGTAGTTAGCGTGTGCGAACTTTTCGCCGACGAGAGCCTAGGGTCGCGGTTCCGGCTGCGCGATCCTGCCGTGCTCCGGGCACGGCGTGTCGGAGTCGCCATCCCTCCCCCCAGAACGTCTGCCAGTGCCGCGGCGCCGCCGAGAGACGGCGTTACGACGGAGATCGATGTCGACATCCCCGTGCCCTCCTTCATCTGCCCCCACGAGACCGACAGCGGAGACGTTTGCGGCCAGTGTTTCGCCACGTTTCGAGGTCTGGGCCCCCATATCACGCACGCTCGCGGTCTTCGACAAAAGGCCCCCGCATTGATCCAGTCAAATGTGCGTCCGCGGTGCAAGCAAGCCTTTTCGACTAGGGCTGGGCGCCTACAACGCGTTCAG